GGGGGGGGAGGTTGAGGGCAGATACATTTAATATCCAGAAACAAAGCAAGAGACTATCTGCGGCCAATGCAAGAGACTCAAGAGCCTCCTTCAATGGCCATGGACCATCTTCTAAATATTTGTTTAATGTGTAATAGGAAACTGGAGAAAAAATCAATTGAGATGGGGAAAAGGTCAAGTAAATTTTGATAATTGCTAGTAATATATAAATCACTGAATACATTTTGAAATTAGTCTTGTCACAGCAACAAAAGGATATGAGTTGTTTTTTCTTCCTTTTTTCCTCTCCATATTAACTTGTCTACACTATATACTACATATCTACACTATATTTACTACTCTATATTACTTCATATACATATTAACTTGCCTACACTATCCACCATATCTTTGTGTTATTGCCGTTTCCATAATTACACGGTTGCATTACATGGAAGTTATTAAATTTAAACCTGTGTATGTAAATGAAGAAACAGAAATGTAATTAAACTCTTGGTACCTAATTTTTAACAACGAAGAAACATACATACATGAAGAAATTCCCAGACGGTACATAACTTTTAATATAACAATTTATATTCATATTCACATTGAAAAAACATTACTTTTAATACGCTACAACCTACATTTCACTGAATTTACAATTCAAAATTCATATTATGAATAAATTTAATTTGACAATGTCGACAGTTTAACATAATGCATTGCTTAATCGAAGGTAGCGTGGCCGAGCGGTCTAAGGCGCTGGTTTAAGGCACCAGTCTCTTCGGGGGCGTGGGTTCGAATCCCACCGCTGCCATAGTTTTGTAACATAATTTGCCTTCGTTTAACTCATGCATTCTTGTTTTAGGTTCCTCGGACGTATTACTAACGAAGGCAAAGCGATTCAAAACTTGAGAGAGTGCTGTTAAAGATTTGTTAAAAATTGATTTTTTTATATGATACTTGATGCACCCAAAGAATGATTCTCGAAGTGTGTGTACGAAAGTGAAGTAGCATATAAAATGTATGTTTTCGTCAAATACAATTCTCAGAATTGAAAATCATAATTCAAACGCTTTAGAAATAAACATTTACCCAATCACATATTTATTACCTTCCATTTGTACACGCAAGGTCGTAGCATCGGTGGTTCAGTGGTAGAATGCTCGCCTGCCACGCGGGCGGCCCGGGTTCGATTCCCGGCCGATGCAAATTTTTCCCCTCGTATCTTTCATTTTCAATTAAATTTGCCCTGACAATGTTTTAGAATTTTATCTTCTTTTGGTTACAGAATATGTAGTCCGCACAATTCGATAAAATACGCGACTAGCGTTTCCGGAGAACTGGTTATAAAATTTGTAATCATATGATCAGCAAATCATTGACATTACATAAAGGACATTGAATTTGTTGAAACTAAAAATTTAGAATTTAGAGAATATCAACGGCACACCTACGAGGACACTCATGGGATTTCAACTCCTGCCTCTAGAAGCAGATGATATGTATTTACAAATAAAGTTTTCAATAGGAAAGAGTCATCCAAAATGTCAAATATTGAATACCTACACAGTAAATAACTTAGGATATAAAATAAAGGATATTAAGAAATAAAAGATTTTACAACAAAAAGTTTTAAATTAGGCATAATTGAAAAAATCTGTAGAAAATGAACACTGCACCTATTCTTGGCTGTGCCACTAGTTAATATTATTAATTGTTAATATAAAGAATTTAAAATATTGTAAGGAAACAACACACCAAATCTTTAAATTTAATGAAAGCTGGTTTTCGCATTTATCTAAGAATATACCTACAAGTGTTGATATCAAATTTGATGCAGCAATGTCAGATCGTGCACTATTCACAAGATTAACAGGTGTTTCAGTAATATTAATATTTACTATACAATTATTTTATTTGAAAACATCTTCATTGACTTTACATTATCTATTTTTCCATGATTTCTTAATATTTTTTGGAATCACAAATTTACAGAGCATGCTAATTGAGCCTTTTATATATGCAAGCAACCCAAATAAATGGCTTCCAAATAAGTGGTTTGTCACCCCACCCCCGCTCCAAGTATTATCTGAATCTGTTACTGGGAGTAATGAGAACAGAAATTTAGAAAGCATAGAGATACCAAGGAAAAAGAGGCTCCACTTTTTAGCCTCTTTCAAAATACTAATCTTTCTTTTTTAACATGATATCCTATACAATGGGAAATGAAACTTTGGGATTGACACCTATACTAAACACATTGTGCTCTGTTGCCAAATGCACAATATAGATTAATATACCTCACTTCCAATGGTTGGAACTCAACTTTCATAGAAATTTCATAAACAAAGAGCCAAAACATATATGACTATGCACTAAAAAATCACACAATGTACAAAAGAAATAGGCAACAGACAATTCCCTATTTACATATTTTGTAACAACTTCATATGGTCAGTTATTAGAAACTTCTTAATATTTTGAGGAAGAAGACATTTAAGATCAATTAAAATTAGGTACTAAGCTTGATTTATACAGAATATGTCTTGTCAGACAATATATACACTGACACAAATGAATACTCTCCCGATGAATTCTGGCTGGTATAAACATTCCCTACACATACCCATTATCATTCAACAATTTCTAACAATATTGGTAATAACTTCATTTGTATTTGATACCCCAATATTTTTTTTTATTAGCAACCAAAAATTAAAAAACATGCACAAATGTTTTATGTTTTAATTTTTAAATTTTACAATATCTTATAACCATTCTTTCAAAATTTAGAATTTGTAATTTTTCTATTTACTTTTCATCCTATGAACTTAAAACCTCTTTATTTACTCAAACTTTCAACAAAATTGAAATTAATATATTTTTTGATCAGCAAATGCAACATGCTAATAGTGCATGTTATGTAAAAATCATAATTGCTGCTGACATACATGTACATTTTTTCCTACAGCAATAATCTACTGTGAATGGTAATTTAGATGCTAAATGAAACTTCATTTTGGCTGTAGAAGGAACTCATTTCTATTTTGAGTACACTTTGTATTTATTACAGCACTCATCCCAATAGCTTCCTTAAAACATTTCTCACACATGGAAGCGTTGTTTGAGATGTATGAAAACTGTCAATAATTTAACCAAGACATAATTTAAAATGGAAAAGGGCATTTTAAATTAACATTTTGGTTGTATTACTGACAAGTTTTTATACAGGGTTTTTTTTCCCCCCTCTCGAAAAATTGATGTGTAAGTTTGGCATAAGCTTGTCTATAATCATATTTTAATTTTTATGCTAGAAGTGAAGATACGCTATTTCTAGCTGACTTTTTCCTACAATCGCACAAAATTTACCAATACATTTCAGAAGTTGTAGCAGCAAACTCTGAAACATTTTGTTTCCGAGTTTCACTGTTTCATTGTTTCACAGCTTTCTCAGGTGTTCTTGCGTATTTCGTTCGCCTTTTGTCAACTTATTAAAATGAAACTAAGTCAAGCAGTAATATTAGTTCCAAAATAGACTGATAATCACCAAATTATGTGTCTTTTTGGTTAACTTTCAGTCTTTTAGCAGTCTCCCAGAAGTAACGATCGCATGTCATAGTCAATTTACTCTTAAGTCACGATCAATTTACATTGCTCTACTCTTCTTTACAAATAATGTTCAGAATCAATCTTCTTCCTCAAACCTTTCCAATAATAATGGGACATAGTTTTGTGAATTATTTTCTATGACCACACCAAAAGTATTTGAAATAAGTTCCAGGAGAAAAAGTTGAATCCCAAGACAGAAAATAAAGAAGTTACAACTGTAGTTAGTTTTTCATTTTCTTAACTACCTTTTATTTTTGTAATGGAACTTCCCAAGTTTCAGAGGGAAAAAATGTACTAGCGTTCTTTTCTACTACTTTTCTACTACAATGCATTAATGAAAAAATTTATCCATGTGCGTTCCATCAAATTGTTTCCTGAATGGTGCTTTTTGTATTGTGGAATCTAATTGACCATGCTACTTACAACAGCTATTTTCATAGTATTACATGTGGGTTAATATTTATTTCCATTACAATGCCAGTAAGTCGTAGTTATAGTTGTTTTTTTCCCGTTACAATATTTAAATGTAGTAATGAAGCATAGGACCAGTAATATTTACATCAAAGACAGAGTATTCCTACAGGTTCAAATTTATGCCTTTTAACCGTGGGATCAACGAGTTGGCAAAAAACGTGTGGTTTTGTCAAGCCGTTAGTTGGCTATATTTTAAGAAAAATGACGCACGTAATACGACACGCGATGTTACCAAACCAGCATCTAAAACAAATAAACCTCATCTCTGTTCCCCCCCTAAAAATGATACCAACAATTAGAACAAATGTGCAAAATAATAGTGCTAATGCTAAATAAATCCAAAAGAAAATTGTAATAGCAATAAATATCAAATAAAACAAAATTGCACTCTAATTATTTTGTCTCAAATTACACATTTGATTAAACATAATAATGAAACTAATATCATAACAATTCTCATTTAATTAGTATGTTCACATGAAACTATATTCATTAATAACTTCACATCTGTCACATATCAGCAAAGACCTGACAAGATTGTTCAGAAAAAACATTCACAAATTGAAAAATTAAGTAAATTCATTGGTTTAACTTTTCAAAAATTTTTAAAACTTGTTTCTACTTCAGTTTTATTGAAATTAATTATTGTGTAAAAATTAACTTTTAATGTAGAAACTAATTCCAAAACATAACCAGGTAATAATTTTCACCTACAACTACATTTTTAGATCTACTTTCAATTTGGATTTATTAGCAGCAAGTTAGATAAAAATAACAATTTTATTCTCTTGGAAACAATTTAATTCATCTTGTCTACTGATCAAATACACTGTAGAAGTGCACATATCCAAGACACAATTGAGGCAACACCAATCGGTTCACATTCTTTTCATAACAAGGACAACTAAATTGAACAATCGACATTAACTCAACATAAATGTTTCAAACTCACGAGACTGCAGAAAAAGAGCGATAACAATTACAATAAAATTCTTTACAATAACACACTGTAACAAAGATAATGCTGCAATAAAATAATTCTTACATTTAATACACATGTACACAGTTGACATTTAACGTCAATTAATCATGAAGTAAAATCAGATCTATCATCATTAAAACTGCCTTAGTGTAGTGCAATTCATTTTTAAAGCTCCTCTATGCCATATAAAACATAACTGTCCACTAACAGCAGTTGTGCGTAACTGGAAAGTGACATTTTTACGTAACACTGATGGACTAACAAAAATATATGTATATATATCAAACTTTTACTTACAAAATTTACATATATGCTTGCATATTTACAAATCACACAAACAATGATTTAAGCTTAAAATGTGAGTATCACAGGATAGAGAATACTAGATGTGACTCTAGTTTCTATGATTACAAAAGACCCTAAGGAGTGTATGGTGGAGGTGGGGGAATGCTTTCTAAGGGAGTATCTCTTCCATGCTCCCCAACATAAAATGTTTCGAGGCCATCCCAATCATCAATAAGACGTCTTCTCTGGACATCTTCTGACATTGTAGGATTCTGAAAGAGATTGCACGCTGTGGCAAAGACTGCTACAGCACCTGAAATGGAGAAATAAATAACAAATTATGACACATTCATTATATAACTTAATGTATATACCCAGCATAAACATGGTGAAAGCAGTAGTAAAAAGCTGAAGTTGATGACACGAATTCATACGTATTTTCTATAGTATCATATTAATTTTTAAACAATATGCTCTTCATTCAGCTTTCATTTCTTTGTCTTTGAACTAATTTTTAAAAACATATTATCACTAATTTTTGGCATTATCACTAATCATGTGAAAAAAATGCTAAAATTTGCATGTTAATTAAATAGTTTGGTGGTATAACTGTTAAAGTATCGGACAGTTTTACCAAAGTAAAGTTTCAAACTTGATCCAAGCTATTGATTTTTTAAGGTTTCTATTGGTTTTTTATTATTGTACATCTTCCTTTGGAGGGGAAGTAAAGCTGTCCCATGTTTAGATTTACTGCATGTAAAAGATCCTCAAGCCTAAAAGGAGTCTCTGAGCTAAATTCTAATTGCTTCATCGCACAATGATACCTTCTTTCTCTGTTAGATAGTGAAAGGAGCACAGCGGTATTTACGTGGTCAGGCAAAAGAGCAGGCTTGATGGATTGAGCCTTGCCACTTAAAGTAAGGCATTATTGATTAATTGAATGATTTTAGTGGTCAGCAGCACAATGCTTAATTTGACTGTTTATATACATGCTAGGACATGTTTCAAACTTGTAGCATACTTCACGGACATTATAACTGCAGTAGCAAGACAAAATTAAATGGGTGGCACCAGCAGCATCAAGGCAGAAATTTTTTCAGAAGGGTAACACCCCAACAGAGGTAACCTATTCTAAAGATCTATTCTAAACACCATAGACAGGGCATGATTTCTGGCAGAACATGATGGAACGGTGTTCTGGTAGCTCAAACAAATTTTATTAAATTATATTATAAATGTATAACTATGTCTATTAAAGTAGTAATTTGCAGCGGGTTCTGGTATCAAAAATTTTATAAATCAATCACTAACCATATATATTCATTCGTTTAATTACTCAAAATATTAATTATTTCTCAATTTATATGTAAAATTCAAACTAATGCTCGGCTCCAAAATCTGGTCACTAAATACTCCCCTTATGATAAAAAGGTAGCATTACTGAGGCAGTAACTGAGCGTACTGCCTCAGCAGTAAGCTCTCAGCAAGGCCACAACATGTTGGCCAAACATGACAGCCTAACTTATGTTTTAGATTTATATAGTTCACTCATTCATGTTAAATATTTTGTTGTTCATTCCATAGCTAGCGTCAAACTGCTTCTTGCTGTTCTTAACCTTGTAGTCATTCAGTGTGAAAGACAATATTGATTTTTCACATTACAAGAAACTTGTTTAGGTATGATAACATTCCCCAATTTAAGTAAATATACTTTAAATATCGAAGTAGTAATAATAAAGTAATTGTTCCTAAAGGTTTAACTTTAAAGTACATTTTTTTGTGTCTATGTGACTTGATTACTGATTTTTACCTTTTCCTGGAGTTGTAGAGTTTTCATTGTATATAAGCAATACAAAAAGTGATAATCAATGATATTTGGGGAATTAATGCATATATTTCATTTAGTAAATGAAAAAAAGTAGGTTCGTAGAGGCAATCTTCATCTGATGGGTTACAGTTTGAAATTCACTTAGAAATGGTTGTTTACCTGTGTATTGTGGCATGCTCTACCCCGCCCAACATACAACACTATTAATCATTTCAGTTCTGGTCTCAGAAGGATGGCATATGAGTTTGTATTGAAGTTAAGTTCACATTGCACGTAGGCAGTGTCATTCCCTAATTCCGTGACCTGTAGCATGGTGGGTCAGATCCTACTATCGTGTTTTTTTCCATTAATCCACATCCTTTTCAATGTGTCTCAACTTGTTAGGATAGCTGAGTTAGCCCAATGGCAGGACTGCACAACTCCTGCTCCCGTGGTCATTCTGCACTTACGAGCCAGCCGCCTACCCACGAGAACGCACAGAAAGAGGTGCAAGAGGTGAGGAGAAGACAGCTTTACGGGGAGGGAAGAAGTTTGAGCGGATTCAACGCAGTACATTGATTTAATACCTAGGCCTCTAATGCAATGATCCACGCTATGAAATTATTTGCCCACTTAATTAAATGGGCAATCTACCATATTTCTAACAACAAGGACCATATTTCAATTTTTGTTCTTCCGTACACTGCTATGTATCAACATATTTTATAATTTCATGCTCATTATAGCTCATAAACAATATTTTAAAGTAGTGGATTCTTTTAAAAATGTATTATGAAATTATTATCAAAAAACAATTTTTAATTTAATAATTGAGTTTTCACTTTCTGCCATAATCTTCAAATAACGTAATGGAGGAGATTGAGGGCAGTATCTCACATCGAGATTGAGATAAAAATGAAATACAGTCAATTCCAACAAGTTAACATTTGACAACACATATTTGTGACCATCTTCCCTCGTTATGAAGCTGAATAAGACATACCAACAAGCAAACCTCTTTTACGATGTTTTATGGGCAAACATGAAATTATTTTGAGTCTTTGTTACATAAAATGCAAAGGGCTTAATCTTTTTTAACTATGTCATAAACGACTAGTGTTCGAAATTAGAAATATATAATGTACTCGTCGGAAATTAAGAGCAGAAAGTAATCATGATTCCTAAAAAAAAATTTTTTTAGCTTCAATAGCACTGTCCTGTTCAATTAAACATTGTTAATAAAAAAAATTATTACTGTCATCAAATAAAAGAAAATTCAATATTACAATTTTGTATTTAAGCATGCTAAATTTATGATTACATTTTATGCCCTACAAGCAATTATAATACTTAAGGTATTCCAAATCAAATATGTATGTCTAATTCGTTTTAGGTTCATTCCATACATTGTCATAAATCTACAACAAACATTTCCAAAATAAAAAATAATGAAACTTTAACTATGTGTAACAAACCATCAATTCTCACAATCTCTCTTTCAATATACACACTGCTGTTTGAATTGCAAATTCTTATTGCCTCTCCCCACTCCTAGAATGAATCTTCTCCCTACCCTTAAATGCGGCCTGGGTCTGCACTCAAGTTGCTTGCGTGCGGCTCTTGAGGTCAGCCTAAGTGCAGAATACTGTGCACTTAGAGGTATCTGAGGAGCACCCTCAAACTTCAAAGAAAAACAGGGAAGGGCCTGTGGGCTGCCTTTGACCAACAAGAAGGGAAAGGGAGGTTGAGTCTAAACTCGACACCGATTGAATGGAATAAATAAAAGAAGAGCCACTGTCACAAGAACTTGTGAGATATGAGAAGGGCAAGTCACAGAGCAAGCCATAGGGTTAGCAAGGTCCCAATTGAAAATAAGTTTACAAATGCACTTACACCCACCCATTTCCACATGTGCCCTCAAACACCAATAAAGGAAAGACGAATAAGTGAAGACATTGAACTATCATAATAACCATATTAAAAACTGTATGACAAAAAATATACTCACAAAGCAACAAAATATATTAAGTATAAAATAAATCAGAATTATAAAAGTGTGAATTTTGCAAATCAAGAATTTTGGTGCATTTAAGGTCTAAAAGGATACCTTCTGTTCTATATTAATTAATGAATCATTTTCCACAAAGAGTGTAGGAATTTTTTTCAATTTGAACAAACAAAATTCAACTTTCATCAGTTGGGTTACAATTAGTAAAAACATTTTGAAGATACAAAGTTACCAGTCAAGGAGGATATAAATCCTTCCCAGAGAGAAAGAGAGCAATATAAATGTGTATTTCTGAAGCACGTTAACAATATTTTAATGCAAAAAGAACACTCTTCAAAAATATTTATTTTTAACATTTTTTATCACTATTTAGTAGAAAGAGCTAAACTAAAATTGGCTTCCTCTAAATCCACAAATTGAAAGCGAGAGAGAGGGGATATATCCATGATGGAAAAAAAAAGTATTGCTATACTACTGCTCTTTGCATGTTGTTCACAAGGAAATATCCCAAAACAATATAATGCCCAAGATCATGTTATATGAAATACATACCTGCTGCAGTGATGGTGTAGCACCCGTACTCATAAGAAACTTGCACTTTGTATTCTTGCATACCCACATTCTCTAGTAATAATGTAATGTAGTAGCATACACCAATAATGATTACCACTAATATAACTGGAAAACAAAGTGTATAATTTTCAGTCACATCTAGAACATTGAATTTTTAAAAAGCAATTTGTATATACAATGCATGCCACTTTACCTGTTATTATGCTGGGAACAGCATTTCTTCTCACAACTTTCAAAACTTTTTTTGTGGGCCCTACAATATCCAAGAAGAATCCAACAAGAGACGAGATCATTGCCATAAAACATAATAAAATTATTATTCGCATCAATGTGGCTATCTCAGGTGTGACACACTGTAAAGCTAAGGAAACAAAATTAGAAATTGCCCAGATATTGACATACACATTAACAGTATTAAAATTACTTACTTTCAGGCAAAAAATATGATCCTGTTGAAGTGTCAACTTCCTTTTCTGATGTTATCAACATATCATTTTCAACAGGATTTGTATCAAAATAGCCATAACTGAAAAACTGATACACAGCCAGATGAGGAGCACAATGACCACCTCGCAATCGAAACCACCCTAACTGAGCCAAAGATGTACATGTCAAGGCAATAGTTGCCATATGAAAAAAGGCTGCTAGAAAGTTTCTTTCTTGTTCTTTGGGTACATTCCAACGCTGGCGAGGAAAATAACTAGGGCTATACATTTTCAACAATTCCAACTGTAAACAAAAAGCATGGTATAAATGAAACAATTACTATCAATTATTTGAGTCTTATTTACGATTCTAAGAAATTGCTGCCAGTAATTACATTTCTTCTGATTTTGTTCAATGTAATTACAAAATATTATCTCTATTACGCACAAAGGCCTAACGAACATTTTCACCAAAATACAATGATACTGCTCTAAATGAAGTGGCCAAGATGAAAATTTGCTAACGTGAAAGAGATCGTCGTTTTAACATGACAAGTTATAACCTGCCTTAATATCCTCCTTTCCAAGCTTAAAATACGATGTAACTCATACTCACGTTCGCTACTTATTCAGGATATACTCCACTCATAATTATCCTTTTGTAAACAAGAACTAGAAAACGACAATTCAGTCCGTAAATACAGCGAAGCACATCAGCATCGACTCATTTTTACTACCTCAGCTCATCTGTCATCCTACTTGCTAGTAATCACGCGATTGTTGGTAGACCTGCCAAAAACAAATGACATACGAGTTCCGGGTTGTCGACGCACATTGCGTCTTATTCGGCAAAATACCAGTCTTTTTTTTTATTGACAGGACTTCCTGCAAATAATTATTCCCTATAAAAGTTCGCACGCTAGTCACAAATTGACTAACGCTTTTCGCCCCTTAATACTATAGATTTAATGAATTGTTGAATACCATTCCAACAAAACCTCATTTGGGTTGGGGAGAGAAGAATAAAAATATGTCATCATTTAGAACATTATTTAATTTAACAACTAAATCATACAGAAAATACAATATGAACAATATATTTAAGAATTTTCATGCAATTCTTTAATGATGCAGAGTTCAGGAATGTAATTGAAAAACAGTGCAGTGACAAATTAAATTCCACATATGACTTTTTCAAGAGATTCAATTACACTACTTCTGCATCTCCTCCAGCCTTATCTGGGGCAGTTATCCAAGCACTGTTAGTCATGTTGCTTTCATTTTTCTCATTTTTGCAGATTGGGCCAGACATCCCAGAAGATGAGCATATTGCTTTTTGATTTAATGGCCATACCTGAAAGGAAACAAATGCATGCACATGAATCTTAATATTGTAGAAACTTTTACCAGACAACCCCCTTTCACAATATTTTATGTATTATTCTGATTAAAATTGAACAATTGCCATGTGATCAACTGAGATAAGGTTACTCAATCAGAAGCTTCAATTAGTGAAATTCAAGTTGCAACAAGTCACTTCAATTTTATATGCTCATAGTTCTGTTTAAAAAAATTGCATAAAACATCACAGAACTTGGAGGTAAAATTTATGAGTGAATGCTGTTATGTTAAAGATACCTATTAAACTTCCTCTAGAATTCCCAGCTAAAAAGGATTATTATTATTATGAATCTATTCGAACACTCGATTCATTTTTATGCTCTGACACCAGAAACGGGAGCACAATTCTGTTATTAACGATTCTTTTTAACTAGCTTTTGAACAATTTTCAATTTTCCAACTCTCAATAATTAAGCCCTGTAAAGATTGTCACAAGTTTTCTAAAATCAAGCCTATCATATTTTGCCTTTAGAACATTACTTACATCAACAGGGATTTCAAAAACGTTTTCAATTCCCTACGCAGAAACTGAATCATTTACACATTTTTCAGTAGACCTCACAATAAATTCAATACATCTTTATATATTTCCTATTGGAATGAGGGCTGTTGCCCAAGAATATATAACATAAAACAATAATTACATGAATTTGAACCAATGCTCCATGAACTTGTTTTAAATTTAATTAACAACCACATTAACATTCACATATTACAACTACAACTTAAAGTAAGCAAACATGATTAGTCTCCTAAAAAAGTAGACTTAAGAGGGAGGTTTGCTTAATAATTAGTTTTTATTTCCATTACTATTATTACTTTTTTAAAGAGACAAATATTCTATAATTAACTAGATATCAGATGTTAGGGAAAGAATCTATTTTATTGAAAAGAATATATTTAATGGCTTTTAGAGTATGTGCACAAATATTGAACTATGGAGCATGCCTTTTCAGACATTAACTAGTTTTTTAAATGCATTAAAAATTATCAGCTCTTCCTTAAAAATAAACGATGAAATTATATTCAGTTTTAGTATTCCTAATAGTTTTATATTGGTAATATCTCCATTTTCTTATAAAGACATATCATTTGTTTACACATGACATTCAACACATTTGTATCTTAAAAGACTCAAGACTATCTTTTTTTGCACTTCTCCACATAAATAAAAAAACATGAAGTGCTGGGTCTTAGTCAAATGCTACCAGAAATCCCACAAGGAACACGATCACATTAGTGTTAGGGTTCAAATCAACAACCATAACTTCCAACACTCATATTCAACTGCGCTAGTTCTTCCAGGAAGATAAGGTAAGGAAGGCTCAGAGGGGGGGTTAAATGTTAAAATACTTTCATATCTGCTGCCACCTTAGAAGAAATTGAATTTAAATTAAACAAGCAGCAGTGGCATAATTTTGGTGGCCACAGGAATTTTTTCTTTCTCCCCCACAATTCCTAAAATCCCCCCGCCCTCCCTGAGGATTTCAGCTTGGGCACAAGGCAAGTCATGAGAATACTGATTCCAAGGTCATTAATTTTCAATTTAAGTAATGAAAATTCAGAGTATCATACTCTTAACTGAAGTAGCTTCTTGAAAGAGGTAAATCAAGAAAACTGCTATTAAAGAGTTGATTGGTGATCAGGACGAGGGGTAATTTGTTAACTGGGGTACAATTTACATACAATTCCGAGTCTGGTCCAAGAAAAATTAAATTTGAGAGGGGTGGTCTTCCAGAGGTTTCACTGAGCTTTGTACAATATTGTTTAAGAAGGTCATACTATATAATTTAATATTTAAGAGCAATTACCTTTTCAGTATCTTCCTAAACAAAATTCTACCCAATGATTGCTTTTGACTAACCTACGGTTTGTTCCTTGGAGGTCCTTACACAAAATACCAAACCCCATCACGGTATACAGCAACAGGAGGGTACAGCAATGAATGAATAGCACACAATAAACAACAAGGCTGAATAGCCAAAAGGCACAGCATTGCAAGCAGAGCAGACATTGCTTTTGAATAAACCAAGCAAAAACCAAACACTATAAATGAAAGGACTATGAAAGTTCACTGGTCAATTTCTCACTGTTACCAATCCAGTTCCATGGAAACCTTCGACCCCATATCTATTATAGTTTCTGTACAAATTATTGCATGCATTGTTATATTACACTATTTCAAATAAATGAACCAATTGATTTTCTGAACACCTTGATATGTATGGTACAATCCTGCCAATTGGTGCATCTTACTTACTTTTGGAATTCCCACTCGCGGTTATCCAAAGGGCACACCTGCCTGGTCTTGAGCCAACGTGAGATACAGTGGAAATGGAATGCGTGCTGCAGACAAACGAATCAGTAGTGTGAATACTCCTCTGCCAAGAAATGAATTCCTGGCTCAGACTCAGGACCATGGTAGATAATAAAAGAATAGGACTGTACTGGGAATATTAAAATGAATTCTTAATTTGCAAAGAGTAGGTTATAACACAACATATTCTCAAGATTGAATGCAAAACTAAGGAAATAACTGACAATAATTAGGATTAATTACAAATTAGACTAAAAATTTAATACAATGTAATTGAAGCACTTTTAGTGGCAAGCAAGACGCACCGAACTTCCTCATACCAAGTGTACGTCCATGGTATGTGACTTTACTTGGAGTTTTGAACATTTAAAGCAAATCACGTATGCTCCAATTCCCTTCTTCATTAAATTAAGGAACAAGAAATAAGATTGATTGTTAAAGACTGTTGTGTTATAACACTAATATATTAATAGTTTACCATAAAGGACAATTCTGTACAGAAAGCCAATTGTAGTTTCTTGGCATACCTGGAACGAACGTTCTGGATTCTGTAGCTCATATTACAAAACATCTGTTTTCCCAATAAAAAATATGCACACATGCACAATATCAGAACCCATGCAATTTTAAAGACTACAAAAAGTGCAATGTGCAACAGATAGATTTCTAGGGAGGTAAATAACCTATTTTTTTTACTTTTAAGTTCATAAACTTACTTCATTAACTGCACTTGAAGTTTCATCGTTGAACATTAGCAAATTTAGTACACGGAAATTACATAAATGAAATGTAACAGCAAAATACAAAACTCTACTATAGAGAGAACCAAAAGAGAATCATTACAATCAACTTGAAAGCCAGCTGTACACCAAATACTTCACATAATATTGCAAAATTCTTCAAGGCAATAATCATCTGATTTCATTAGGATTTTCAAGTTACTTACATTACAAACCCCCCAGGCAACGGTGCATTCTTCACTTGATGCAGAAGCTTGATTTGCCTGACATTCAATGCACAAATCCATTATGTGATTTCGACAGATAGCGCAATTGTCCACGACGATATCTGAAAATAATAACTATCACGAAACCATTTCGTAGCGTTAACAGAAATTCTAGATAAACATTCCTTACCCCAAGCCCACAAAGCCACAGCATTCCACTGCAACAAAGGAGAAATGCATCACTAAAGTAACAACAGTTTAGTGACATTAATAATATTACAGAACTACAGAAAATATAATTCCTTTCTTGGGAAATAAAGTCTATCTTACCTTTTTAACTTCGAATCGCTTTTTTTCTCCTTTGCCGCTACTAGAAGTAGGCAATTCAATTTCTTCGTCATCCACATCCATTGCTGACGCCATTTTCCTGCACAGTAAGAATCAGAATATCGACACTGACCCGGCAATTCTACCGTGACATTACTTTACTCCATGACAAGATAGCGTTCCTTTGCTCACATATATTTTTCACATTGTTTGGGAATTATGTAATGAATATTGTGGAAAGTAACAAATAAAACCAAAACTAGCACACTTCGAGACAATTTATAACGTGATATTTGTTATAAATATCTTACCGAGCTGCACTACGAGTAGTTAACGGCATTCTGGGATGTGTCCGCATTTGTATTTTTCAGATCAGAAATTAAATTCAAAGTAATATCTTAAGCTGGCACTCGCGCAAATATTTCACGTACACTTTCACTTCTATCTTACTACACAATGAATCAGTAACTGTCATGTGCTTCGAATGACATCGACAAACGTCGTAGCAAGAAAGTGTCACATGTGCAAGGCGCGAACTCACCCATCTGTGTCCATTTCTTTAATTGACATTTTGTCTTCAAAAGACTACTAAGAAAAAAATATTTTTCTTTAAACTAATCTTAACATTCTTTTAACGTGTTTATAATTTTTTAAAGTCGTGATTTTTATTCTAACATATCACGTAAATCTTTTTTCTGAAATACCATTGGTTACTCTCGCGTGATGCGGTTGTCTTCCATTCAAATGTATTTCGTAATTCAATGCCAGATGGATAGCTGAAAATATCATTTGTCAGGTACTATTGCTAATACCAGCCATCTTTGTTTGAAAAACCTGTTCATCAGGTGTTTCGTTTGTTTGGAAAACCTGTTCATTAGGTGTTTCGTTTGCAGCAAGTGGTGCCAGATAGATATAATAATAATTGTCAAAAGATATTGTCATTGAGTTTGAAACAGTAGAGATTTATGAATACATATTTTCCGCATCACTTATTTGAACATCGAATTTAACTTTTTCTTTTTAAACTGTTAACTTTTCATAGAATAATTTCTCATTCTTGCTTATCGACGCACACACACGACGCGCGCGCGCGCACACACATACACACTGTGTGAGAGAACTTATCGCACATAGCGCTGATTATTGAGAATCCATGTTTTGTGGGTCCTTGATACCAAGATCACTAATTTTTTTACAATGAAAAGATGACGAAAACATTTAAGAAAAAATACAACGTAAAAAATTAAACGTTTTATTGATTCAAACAAAAGTACACTAATTATTGCTACGTCCCTTTTAATTATTTAATTAAAAGACCATTTTTCCATTGAATTGATATTTTTTTGTCAATATATCATTTTCTAATAACATATTGAAAATTTCAGAACAAGAAATATCCTTCATCTTGAATTTTACGGAAAGTGCTACAGTTAGAGTATCAACATTCAATATTGATTTTTCGCTTGTCCAAAACCTGAAATACTGAAGCTGTAACGACTGAAAACGGCGAGAATTCCTCCGATCTAGCAACACTAATCGCATCTTTTCGAACTGTACCGTTTCAAAATGAGTAACATTTGGGCGTGGCATTCATGAATAGTGATTAACATATTAGTTTTAAAATATCAAAAATGAGGACACTCTTCGAGAAAGGACAAAACCTACAAACCGAGAACGGTCCTACCTAAAGGAGTACGATTGGTCACCTTCTTGATACCGAAAACTCGGATGACAACAAAATTCGTGTGTGTTCTTCCGGCTGTCCGCGAACAGCACTACCGCCCAAACTATGCAGACTGTTTTCTCCAAAATTTGATACTCCCCGGTCTATCTAAATGAGCTCGAAGCCCCGCGAGTGTGAAATGGATATTTTTATTTTTTTGTCATTTTATATGACGTTTCAACACTTTTAAAAGTTTATCAAAAGTGTCTCCAAATATTATGAATAAACTTTGTTTTCCATAGTGTAAACAACTCTTAAAAACAGGCGCGGTTCTTATTTTCGTTAAAATCGCTAAGTTTTCAAAAATTGCAAAAGTTCAAAATTTTTTGACATCTTTCTACAAGTACAATATTAAAAATGGAGCTTTTTTTTATTTTCTCGCCACTACTTACGTAGTATAGAGAAAGTATTGTAACTGTGCGGGGAAAATAGTGAATTTTCGACACCGAATTGTTGATCACGGCAGTTTTTCAGGCTGCTCTGAAATGGCGGGGGGGGGGGGAGGCATTCGTGAAATCAGGCCGTATATCAAGCAGGATATAATGCATAACACAGTGAAACTCATTTGCATGTCTTTGAATTTCTGAATTTACAATTTTACATAAAGGGAGTGTTGATTCCGATAGGGCGCGAAGTAATATTATCAACGAGGGTGAATAAACAAGACAGGCAAACAACTTGAAAATATGAGAGTCTCGTGAAGTAAAATTATAAGGATGAAAATATTAAATTGTTTTAAAATAAAGAATGAAAACCTCGTCTTATTACCAACGACAATAAAAAAATAATTAAAAAACCCTTCAGGATATCCAATTAAATAATTAAAGGACCCTTCAGGAGTGGATTGAAAGGTAAGAAACGATGTCAGATCTAAACTCAGGTGATAAACACATCAACAGAGAATAAGTTCCGATTCAAGAAATTAAATGTTGACTTCATTCTAAAATAAAGGAATGGATAATATAACGCAAAATAAATAATTTTCTGCAGAGGTCAGTGGAGAGTAAAATTTAAGATCTAACTTGTTCCAATATTGTAAAGTCTAAATCTTTTTAGGACAATTTCCGTTACAAATCCAAAAAACTAGACGCCAACTTACCAGACGAACAATTTGGATGTCGCAGAAACAGATCAACCACCACCGCAATAAGCCTACGCATGAATGACAAAGAGGGCGCCACGAAAACGAAAAAAGGTAAACTATAAGCTATTTTTCTTGATTTTATAACAGTCTTCGATTACACCAACATTCCTTCCAAATTCTGGCAGCTGAGTAGTAACGCAATGGTGCGTAATAGGAGGCGAGGACGCGGAGCTGCTACATGGCGGTCCTCTTAAAAACCTACTGCGACGAGACTTGACAAATATGACATGACATATATGAATTAACGGAGGATTACTCCGGAAGCGCAAAGCGCTCAAAGCCCCACAATGTTTGGAGACGCGTTGCGTGAAAGACGCAACAATTTTTTTAAAAATCCATTACAAAACGGAATGAAATACTTGCTCTTAGACTACATTTGAACTCTTTCGTTTGCATGTTCGTAAAAAGTAATGAATTAGGGTTTTGGTAACTCATTGGTTAGGTTTATTAAAGAAGTATCCCTTAGTAACCCTCAAGCTACTGCTATTCCCGGAGATATCAAACACCTTAACACAACATAAAAGTATGAACTTTTCTATATATTTTTATATTATAATATTTTATACAGTTTTATAAAAAAATGTTCATATTTCGTGAAGGTGTGTTTTCTCATGGTATCAGTAGATGTTTTGGCCTCGACCTACGGCAAAAAATTCAACTTCATCATTGAAAAAACATCTAGTATCGTTGCCAAATAACCTAGTGGGAAACCATTGGTTGAAGATGTGGAGCACGTGTTCTTTCACTGCCCACGCTTCGTTGAGGGGAGGGACTCCATCGGCTCCTAGTGACTCCTGGAACCATCGTCACTATGATGCTGATGTCTCAGGAAAATTGGAGTGCGGTAGCCACCTACGCCGCAATGGATTTAAAGAAGCTTTGGGTAGAAGAACGACTGCGAAAGAGTACCCCGTGACATCAGTTGGCAAAGAGCGATAAGCCGATCTGCCCTTCCCGTGAGGCAATGCCCGACGGCGGTTCCGCGGGAAGGGAATCGGGGGATGGGAGGTGTTTTTAGTGGGTAAGGCACAGGCTAGCTGCGGTGCACATGCTTCGCAGAGTCTTTGAAAGATTTTCCCCTGCCCTTGTAAAAATAATAATAATAGTAATAATAATAATAATAATAATAATAATAACAATAATAATACTAATAATACTAATAATACTAATAATAATAATAATAATAATAATAATAATAATAATAATAATAATAAACACTAGTGGGGAAAAAATGTGAGTGGTGAATAAAGTTGACTCTGACACGAGTTGATAATTTCAAAATAACTGTACGTTCACAAGAAGTTTAAAACTAAATACTCTTGTGCATGACGCCTACATATTGAGTGATATCTTATGGTTTAAATACTAGTTCAGTTTGTGAAAAAAGGAGCAATATGCATGTTTAAAAACAGAAAAAACAGACCCTGACACATTTTCATAATAGCTTCATACTTACAAGGTGTTCCAAACTAAAACGCTTGTGCATAGGTCATTTCTTACAAAAGCCATCAATACTTGTATAATTAGTGGGAAAATGTAAGTATTATTGACGATTTAAGTAAGCAAAATAGCATACCGCCTAAAATCCTCCCAGGAATCAGCGGATTCTGCCCAATGGATGGAATCCCACAAAATGCATTTCTTACCGGAAGTCGACGCTTGTTTTTCGCCCAAATTGGCATCCCTGACTACGTCACCACAATAAATGAACTACCTCGTTATTTTGAACTAGTTCACTAAAAAGAACGACCGTTCACATAAAATAGCGACTTTGCCCAACCGTAGTTTCCACTACTATACGACACCGCTCATCCTGTTTCTCAATCTATTTCACACTCAACCTAAGACCCCTTTAATGAGAGTAGAGCATTTAAAAATATAAAGCGGTTAATAATGAAGGTAAACTAATTTTGTTTTAATTTTCCATGAATTAAGCACTTTTTTCATGGTAATAAGTCAGTTGTCTCGGCAACAGTGTTTTTTAATTGACATAACAAATAGCCTATTTCATGTGCTGTTACCAACGTCCAGATTCTGCCTTTATCATAGAGTTGTAGAATTAGTTACTTGTGGTACGAGTGGTTGTTGCATTTTATTTTGCACGTAGGAAATGTTGCAACACGAGGCCGATAAGCTGACTGGCGCAATCCTACGAACAAAATAAAATCACTTTTATCACGTGAGTCACATTAATTTTAGAGTCTTTTTGACTTGAATTATCTTTTAATTCAAACATATAAATCAAATCTATACTTTATTAAGGTCAGGAGTAGCTCATGCGATCAGACGAAAGTATTTTGTTTTCATTGTTATATTCACAGTTTTATCTGAATTTAATGAATATTATCTCAGTTTTAGCGCTAGTGACAAAAATAGAACTTTCAGCACGCTTTATTTACCCTATAAGTAAGTTAACTTCTTTTTGTAGGAGGGTGTATAAAAAACATTTTTACATGCGTAATAAACACGATATTTCATGTTGTGAAGCTTCTGAATGACAATTCCGCAAAATAATAAAGATAATTTATCATTTTATTTTTTATTCAAATATGTTGAATTGTCGGCTTAATTGTGGAGTCATTAAATTGATAAAAATAAAATCTATTGAGAAGCATGGTGATCTACTTAAGTTGGACTAAAGTGAATGAGGAGGGTGACCGGCGAACTAAAATACTTCACCCGGCATGGTCTTCATCTGAAACT